GTAGATCTTGATGTCATGTTTGTTCATGACTTATTTCTGATCAGTAGTAGCAAGCATACTATGACAACTTCTGATGAATGTTTTGGTGTTACGGTGAGTATTATGAATAAACAGATATTCTTACTTTTCTACAATGACAAATTATACATGTCTATTTTCATTCAACATGAAGAGAAATCTCTCAACCTTCTTCAAATCTTTGTGGAGATGGATGGAAACTGTTGTTGAATGACACTGAGTTGACACTCAGTCTGTCCATTGTTCTGAAAATAAATTAGAACAGAAATGATCTTTGAACCCAGTCATGGCAACTTGATAAAAATCATATTATATGTGATTGGTTCTGGCAATGTTTTAGGGTCCTGACATGGGTGTATATACTTATCCAGTATAGAAACTCTAGCCTAGCAAATAATTCTCAGCTAAAATCCATGCAAGGCAATCAAGAGGAAGAAATATTTACCACAAACTACAACTATACTTTTGTTAGAGACTAGGGGTTGGTTTTGCACATGATTTTTCCATCAAAGATTAATGAAATTCATGCTAGGATATTTTCCGAACATTGGAACAAATAAAACTATATTAAAATTATGCAAGTCACAAATTGTAAGTTCATATTGGTCTCGACAGGTTTAATGACATCACTAGAGCTGATAATATAAATTTTAAATGCCTTTCGCATTGGTTAAGCTGCTTCGCACAGAGGATGGTACAAAATAGTATCCAAATAGAGCATATTTATGTAGCTCAGTTTTCAGGGCTCGTGGAAAAATTGGTCATACCATTACAAATTTCAGTGGAAACTGTTGATTTGGGAGGGGGGGCTACATTTTGATGGGAATTACAGTGGTAATACTAGGTCCTGGTAATATACAAAGACCTGAATTAACAAAGCAGTCAAGTTGTTATTAAAGATACATCAAGGTTTACGCTGATTTATGAAGTTTTCAGTTGTCAGTACAATACTAGATTAAGGGAAATCACTTTATGATAAGTTGTACCCACATAGAGTACATATTAATTCACCTGTTTGCAGATGTTCCATGTATTATTTTCACATAAGTATTTTATAATTAAATGACTGGGACATTCATGTCTTGTTCTGATCTTCTTTGCCGTTCATGTTCATATAAATACTATTATAGAAAATGTATCAGGGAGGTGTCGCATGATGTGATTGGTTCCTTTCCGGTGTGATTAACATACATGAATAATTCATGAGGTAGAAAAAACTTTCGGCCAGTAAAGTTGCTAATACTGGCAGTGTAGGTCATTGTCAGACCACTTTAGATATGGCGATGTAAACATTACCTCGTGCTACTGTTTCGATCGTTACCATCATAATGTAGATGTTGTAGATATTTTCAGAGTTAGTTATGTAGAACCGTGGTTTAGCAATACTTTTTAACCAATATAGTGATGCATATCTAGGCAGTTTTGAGTTGTGAAGCGAGTCTGCCCAACAGACTGGCGATATTTCCTAACGATGTCAACAAATATGATGGCGTCACCACCGAGTGTAGGCGTTGTTCAGAAAAAACACGCCAGTTGATACACGGTCATTTTCGTCGGTAAAACAATCCAATTCTACGATGTTCGTTGTGACAATCAGTTCAGGGAAATTTTCCAATTCTCTTTCACAGACGACTCTAATGACATTTAATGTATGGTTCCTTCCAATTCCTTGGCTCTCTAGCGTATTGATATTGTCATACATTCAGAACACCGGTCCATGCTATGCGTGAGCACCGAAAGTGATCAGAACAAAGATCTATTCAGAAATGACTATCTTCGACTGCAGTCTTTTTGAACAGCGCCCGCACATGCGGTTTTTTCCCGTTAAATGGATATAATTTTAATATAGAAATTATTATTAACATCATGTTTGAGTCAAATAACATATCGACGAATAAGGGCATGAGTGGGTCTGACTAATGTGAATGCTGCAATCCTTCTGCAAACACAAAAGATTACAAAATTTGGCACGTACTGAAATCCCATTAGTTGGATTTATTTCTTTTATTTAAACTTATGATGTATGATGATTTGTAAGTTGAAGGGAGATTATTTATGACTTGTTTCCTTATTCAAAATGATCCCCATCTATCATTTCCTACCACTGTTCTATCAAGAAGAGGATCAAAAATGACAATTTTATTTCACCATGTGACAGATTGAGTATCAAAAAACTGGTAACTAATAATTTTTGATAGGTAAACTGAATTTGGCATGAAATATTTGCTGCATTTTACTTTTATTAACATGTTATTGTTGAAGCATAGTTGTGCACAGTTACCGTGGTCTTGCGCATTCACAACATATTTACGGCAGTTGATATCCAGGCTGTATCATATAAAAACGATTACCAGTATTCGTTAAGTAATGATCAAAGACCAAGTTTTAAAGTAGTGACATTTTGAAGGGGTGGGCGCTTTGCCGAATGTGACCCAGAATATAAAATTGTGCGACAGTGATCTGTTTAACCATGTCTAAATCACCTGAAAACAGAACATTTTTAGCTCCACTGTCGACAAAGTCCGTTGTCAACTTTACAATTTCAACTTCTTCTTTGAAACCGCAGATCAGAATTTTTTCAAATTTGATATGCAAGTACCTTGGATGGTTCTTTCTCAGATTTGTTCATTTCATGTCAAAATCTCAAATTCTCTAATTTTGATGAATATTTTTGTTATTTTTGGTAAAAAGTGATATTTTCGACTTCTTGTTAAAAACGACAAGTCCAATTGCTTTGATATTACATATATAGGTACTACATGTGGACCTCT